AACAAAAGCCAAGCATCATAGGACATAAATAGAAAAGAAGCTATGGCCCTTATCCATGGACGTTTAAAGAATCCTTTAACAAAAGAATGTTGGTGTTATGTCCATAGTTAAATATTATACAAGTCAATTTAATTGAAGCAAATAATAAAAACCACACAGCTTTCTGATCCCAGAGGAAATGTAGACTGTGACGGTCAAACCTCTGGCTCGGGGTGGCACATAGCAAAATTGAGTCAATGCTGTTAAAGGAGCTTGGACCAGCCCCAGCTGTTAAGGTGAACAGGTCTTCTCGGTATGATATATGGGATTTATCTGTTCCAGCCAATGCTAAGTAACTAGGTTGAAAAGCCATATTGAAATTTTCTTGTTAGTTTGATTTATAAGCACTGGGAATTCTGTATGATATTGAAAGTTATCCCTATATTGGGTTAAGGAAGGACCACATAGGGAAATACATTTTAAAAGGTTCTTAAACGAGCCAGGTAAAATAGGTCATTATATTTCACAGCTCATCTTACACAGTGCTGATTAGTTCACGATTCAAGCATGGGAGAGAGCAAACCTTCGTCAGAGTACTTGTCTCTGAGTGACTGCTGAGCAATGCACTGTACACAGCTGGTGTCAGGGCCTTGGTGCTTTTATCCAAAGTGTTGCATCTGTTCATACTTTTAAAATTTTAAAAAAAAAGGAAAGCACCTTGTATATATTCTAAATTGGAAATAGGATAAAGTGGCGCCGTGTAAATCCAGATTTAATTACAGCAATATGGAACATCTGATCTGATCTGTCCTTAACCTATTTGGTCTTGTATGTAATAAGGCAAATTTAAGACCAACATTCAAGGGAATTTCCCACCTCCATCTTACCTTGGAGTTGGTATCCCTTAGCACTGCAGACCAAAAATCTAGTGAAGATGGTGTTCTATTGAGATTATTTCATATTTGAAAAATAGGAATCCCTTCATGTGAAGAAGTGTTCAAGGCCAGGTTGGACAGGGCTTTGAGCAACCTGGTCTAGTGGAAGATGTCTCTGCCCATGGCAGGGGGTTGGAACTAGATGATCTTCTAACCCAAACCATTCAGTGACTATGATTCTATGTGCATATACCCCCTCTCTGAAAGAGAGCAGTGGCTTTTACAGTTGGTTCATATTCCACCTCTTGCAAATGTGTTCAGTATGATATGTGTTATTGGACATGTGTCTGTCTCATACCAGAACTGGGTAGTAGTTTATGCATGGCTGTAGCTGCAAATAAACTTGACTTCGTAAGTCTTTTTAGCCTCACCTCCTAAATGTCAGGTTTCTACATCCATTTTCTCACTGGTAGGTCATGCTTCTAATAAAATGTTTATGAAAAGACATGTTCTGGAAATGTAATGAGGTTTACTAGGAATGAACTGGATTATACTGTCTGCGCCATTTCTCATCAGTTTTGGACAAAACTCTTTATTATCTGAAGCTGAAGCTTTAAATTCCAAGTTTATGAAGTAGAAGTCAAACCAAAGACTCTGAACAAATGGAAGACCTATAGTTAATTACATCCTTGTAAGTCATTTTGCTAGTTCAGCTATCTCGGTAACTCTGAACTTAGACTAATGCTTTCTAGGCCCTTGAGTTTTCTTTGTTTAGGACTTGCTGCCTGGCAATCAGGTCAGCAAACGCTCTTTATGATAATATTCAGAAGAAGATTTGCACTGATAAATAAACAATAAATATGATATATAATTGATGGCAGCTTCTTTAGAAGCTGTTCTTTTAACCAATGAAAGTTGGTTTGTACAGTGCATGAACAAAAAGGGCAATTTACTGCTAAGGAAAATAGATTTCTTGACAGTTATTGCAGTGTTAGTCTGTGGATCCTTAATCACTAATTAGAGTTTGAGGCAATGATGTTGGGACATTGTTGCCAGATGGAAGATTCATTTTACTGGCCACTTAATTAACAACTGGTAAACAGTTGCACCCAAATACACATATTTACATACGCAGAGTGCTTACTGTGTCACAATGATGCTAATGGTTTAGAGAGCGAGTCTCACTAATGTGATCTGCTAATGGGAATGTCAGAATAAATTATCTTCTCTGGAACTGTGAGCTGTCTATCTGCCACCTGCATGGGAGCTCCTGAGCTTCAGGTTTCTGTCTGCCCGATGCCTCTTGAAAGCTGGGATGCTTTCTGAAGCTGCAAAGGGAGCTGCAGGAATTTGTGTGTTTCAAGGGGAGAAGTCTTGCTGTTTCTAAAGTAGGCTAGCAGAAGGACAGGTTCCCATCCGAGTTCTATCTCATAACAGGTGTATATATAAGTAACATATCTGAAAATGTTTCTAGTATGCAATACTCACAGCTTTCAGTGGAAAAAATTTTGCAAAGTTGTTTGTGCATCTCGGGGGAGATGGGGAGGTCATAGAGATAAATTGATCCTGCTTCCCAGCAGCCATAATTCATTGTCTGATTGGTACAGATCCCATAGTTTAATTATATATTAAGAATAGTCTGTCCTATTTCTGTATTAGCTCCCATCTGACAATCTCAAACAAGATCTTTTAAAATACACCTCACAATTCACAGGAGTGCAACAATTTGTCCTAGAACCTTTTTAGCTGGCAAGAAAACAGAGGTATGGGTGACTTAAGTGGTCACAGCAAACCATCTTTCAAAGATTCTGGGGAAGGAGAAGCACATCTAAATCCTGGCAGTACTGGTCATCTCACCTGTACTCCTGTCGTTGCAACTGACTAGTGGTGAAATCCAAAAGTTAATTTGGAAATGTGGGTGAGATGATGGCAGCAGGCTGGTTTATGGAAGGCCGTCCAAAAAGAATGAATATTGCATTATTCATTTAAGTAATAGTCAGCTACAAAAATGCAGGGTGAAAAACAACTGGCAGTCTGAAATGGTCATAAAATGAACATTAGTTAACAGTATCATGGTGTTCTTAAAATAAGTCAAATACAAACATGGAGTATACCAGCAGCATAGCTTGCAAGACATAAGTTCTTCTTGCGTAAGAAGGATCAGGAGTATTATATCCAATTTTGACCATTATTCTAACAGTAGGATATGGGCCAGTCCATGAGGGCTCAAGAGCAATGAAAATGGTTTGAGGGCTAGAAAATTTGGTCAAAAAGAACGATAGAACAAACTTGGGTTCTGTAGTCTAAAGAAGACTGTGGAGAGTTGATATTAGTCTTCAGATATAAAGACTGTCTGAAAGAGGAAGGGGAAAAGATTGTTTTACTTATTCATGGCGCATTAGACAGAAATAAGGGGCTTAAACTGCAGAGAATTGGGTTAGATGTTAGGAAAATATAATTATCGTAAGGAATGTGAATACCATAATAAATTGCCAGAGGAGGGTGTTTATCTCTGGATATCTTTAAGAACTGATTAGACACACATCTGTCGGGTATAGCTGACCCAGGTGTAAATGGTCCTGCATTAGGACTGAAAAGCTGGACAAAGTGATTCTGGATGGCCTGTTCAGCCCCGTGGCAAGAGTGTGATCCAGCCCGGTGATGAGTCTCCTATCTCACATTTACAGCCCTTTTAAAAGTTGCTTCTGTCCTGCTGCCTCCTTCATGATAGTAGCTGAGGTGCTACTTTTCCTTTTCTTTTCAATTTAGCAAATTGATAGGCAGGACAAACATATTTCCCCATGGTGATGTTAGGCTAAAATTTGCATCCTAATGACTCCTGTCTCAGAGCACCTTTTTTGCCTGGCCATGACTTTGCATTACTTGCACTTTTCCAGCTCTGGCCATTACCTACTTATGTAGTTTATTGCCGCAATGTATATGATGAAGGACCTGGAGCCATTCTTTTCCTTGATAATGCCTCTCTTTTATTCCTAATACTTCTGTGTATTTTGCCAAAGATACCTATTTGTGGATCATTTTACTTGAAGTATTATGGGTTAGCTATCTGGATGAAGTTGCCCAAGTAATGTTTTATGTGGGAAAGGACTGTTTCTGGTATAAAAGCCACATTCCAGAGGTTAGGGATTTTTCTATGCAGAAACAATCTTTCACTTTGTATCTGCACAATATGAACCTGCTGCAGTATTGTCAGATTAAAAATAATATTAATTGTGATTCCTAAGCTGCTTTTGGAGTTACATCTATATCTGTCTGCATTTTGAAGTTTTTCAACTAAAAAATAAATAAATGAATACAGCATTAACTTTACAGAGAAGAGGGACCTAATATACTGGGACATCACAGTAGCTCACTAATTATGAATTATTGTAAGTTTTATTCCTTTTCTTATATTTTTACCTATCTAGTTTTAAATGTTTCAGGATTGTTAGGGAAATTTGATGATTATTGATATGGGAGATAACATCTTTTGTCAGCGTACCTCTGATAACTTCTGTTTGAAGTACATTTATGAATTGGTCAATGGACAAGTTCATTTGCAATGCTGAGTTCTAGGGAAGGTCTAGTACCTGGTAAGAAAAGGAGATAATTTTGGAACTAAAAGTAAGGGACAGATTTCTTGCTTCTCTTCTGAGTTTAGAGTTGCTGATATTCTGAAATAAAATAAATGCCACCTTTTTGAAATGGACTTCATTTTCCTATGAGAATAAGCGGATTTTGGAGGCATCTCTGATAGATTTGCTGTATACATCTCCCTTCTTACTGTCTTTGAAGTCCATTTAAAGCTTACTTCTGTCCTGCTGTTGCTATCATGACAATAGTTGAGGACAATCTGAGATGTGGTTTCCACTGTTCTGTTCAACTCAGTGAATTGTGTTCTTTCCATTCTGCTTGACCCCATCTGCTTGATTTGTCCTTCCATTGCATCCTGTCCGCAGGCTTCCTGGGAAACCTTTCTTCTCAGATGTGGTCTTACTGCGTTAACTCTGATCATAGATTAAGACACTGCCTTGATACAAAAAACAAAACAAAACAAAAAAGCAACATAAAAATTGAAATCACAGTAAGCCATGTATTTACTACAGATTCAATTTTTTTTTCCCCTTTGTTTTTATTTTTGTGCAGATTGTTTCTCAGAGGAAACTCTCCAAGTCCTTACTCAAACATGGGAACACAGCAGGAAAGTCATCTATAACAGTAAGTCAGTCTTAAATACACTCTTATTTTCCTGTTATTTAGAAATATCTATTGTGACTAATTTTCCCTAAAAGCATGTATTTAGATTGTTTATTTAACAGATTGCTTTTACTGTTTCTGGCAAATGCTTGTTTCAAGGAAGTGGCATCAAATATTGAATGATTTGTTCAGAAACCACAATACTACTGCTTTTAAGGTACTTTGATGAGAGCAAGAAAGCTGTGTTGCTTGCTTACTTTTAGTTGAAGGTCTAGAACCTTCAGAAATTCATTTTGACCCACGTTGATGCACAAAGGAGTTTGATGTTTCTTGGCCCTTGGGCTTTTTCCAGTTTCTAAAAAAAAAAAAAACCCAACAAACAACCCACCAACTCAGAGAACACACACACCCAGCCACACCAAATTCAGAAGTTTGACGAGATTAGGTATTTTTGCTGTGTTGTAATGCAATTATGGACTGTATAGTTGTAACCCCATGTGTATCTTGAAGTCTGAAAATCGGTGTATTACCTCTCTTTCATCTTTCTCTTTGCTGGCTTGTTTGGGAGATCAAGCTTGTCTGCACTGAACCTAGCATGCTTGTGACATTTGCAGCTCTGCATTAAGACAAAGACTATAATAAAATATTCTGCTTTGGGGATCTCTGCTCTGTTGCCTCACAGAGTTGAGAAGGATTTTTTTCCTTGATGTGCAATTAGCCAGATGGGTTACTTTTGGCCTGATTGTTTGGATTTTTTTTTCTACCTTCCGCCACAGCAGACTGTAAGAAATAATGACTTCTGAAAGCCCAGGAAATTTTCTTTCTTGCATAAGGTAAACTAGTTTTTGGTCTGAAGATGGAAAGGAATTCCCCACTCATCTGGCTGAACAGAACCTGGAGAGAGTTTTGCTCCCTAAATATCTTGGTGAGGTTTGCCTGCTAGGATTATCTGGGCATACCTCATCTGGTCCAGATGCATCTGTTTTGCACCCCCCTCCTGTTCTATGAGGAACACAAAGGAGTTTTGTCTTGTGAAAACACAAATGCTCTAGTTCAACTAAAAATTAGGCTTGTTAGTAGAGTGTTCTGGCAAAATAAAAATTAATGCTCTGTCATATACAGAAGATGAAAGAAAATTAGTTAGTCCCTGCTGTCCTTCCTGGATGATAACCATGAAAATATGGACCTTAGTTCCTTGCTTTGGCTGCTGGCTAGTAGTACTAAAGAGCGAGTTGACTTTGCTTGAATGGGGGAAAACCAAACTCAGACAAAAATTATTGTGTGAAAAGTTTGCTTTCTCAACAGAATAAGTCAAAATGGAATATTTATAATTATTTTTAGACCTGGGGACATACCAGGTATCTGTCAACTGTGGAAATTTCATGTAATATTTTCCTAACTTGTTCTGCTTAATTATGAGTTTTTCATAGGATGTTGAAAGATCCTGACTTGGCATGTTTTGCTGGAATATTATTAGCCCTTTGATTGTGTAAATTTTCATCAATACAATTTTATTATATGGCTGTGGGATGAAAACAGAGCATTGTTCAGCTTCTCCAGTTAGAAGTCTGTCAATCTTTATAAGATAGGATTCATTATTTTCAGTTAAAAATATTTGTGAAACTTGGTGTGCAAATCCCAGAGCACTGTCGGTCATATACAGGTTATGATCTTTTAAACCATCAGAATACTTTGAAAAGAAATGTGTCAAACTCTATGAGCCAAATTTCTAGCAAGTTCATGTTTGCCTGGAACCTGTGAAACACCACATATGTGCCTGTGTGATGGTCCTTTAACGCACTGTTAAGCATCTGTGCCCCTACGTGGATACATGTGAATATTTTGGATGAGGAAATAATACCACAGTTCACTGCCGTGAGGTGTCACAGCCAGAATAGTCTTGACTCAGAGAATTTTACTTAATTTAATTAATTGTCAATTAATGTAAACTATTAATTACTGATTTGGGTATTGATAAACTCTTAGGCAAAACACTTTTTCTCCCTCTTCTCTGAGCAAAACTTCAGTTCCAGTACCTCTCCTGCCCCCTTCATAGTCTCCACTCCCTTTGCCTTCACTACATGTTACGCTCAATCCCTTTGGTGAGGTGATGGGTGGCACAGGCCAGGATCAGAGCATAGTGATTTATTTTTTGCTGTTCTTTGTTTTTTACTCATGTTCCCAGCTGTGCTGTGGGCTTACACAGCAGCCACAGTCCCTTTGGAGGGCATTCCTGGTCCAGCACAGGCCTACCTACAGGTGCAGGCCCTCAGAGGTACCTCCTCTGACATGGAGCACCTCCTTCCAAGAGTGCATCTCCAGCTGTGTCCCCAACAACATCCCCTTCTCCATGCCTGCTCCTGGATCTTCTTTAGGGTGGCCTCGCAGGCCTCCTGCTGCTCCTCTGTGCCTCATGCTTCTAGCAGTTGCCACCCTTTCTTAAACATGTTCACACAGAGGCACTGTATGGACCTCTGATGGGTTGATATTTTGGGGTGCCGTTGGTAGCTGCTGCCCGCTGCCAAGCCAGCTGGAGCCAGCTGTGGCGAGCATGAGGCAGTTCACAGCCTCCCCACACAGGTCACCCATGCAGCCCCTGCTCCCAAAACCCTGCCAGTTATGCCCAGTGCAGAGTCTAAATCAAAGAAAGTTAAAAAAAAGTCTTTAAAAAAATCCCAGTAATAGTGGACTTTATTGAGGCTGTAGACATACGTGGGCAGTAAAATCATCCTGCACTGCAGTGCTCTGACTGCAGCTCTAACCTCAGCAGCCTTCAGCTGGTTTGGAGGATAGCTGGGGTGTCCCAGCGGCTCCCTGAGTACCTGGAGTCCATGCAGTGGAGATAGTCTGTGCCTGGCTGGCGAGCTGAGGTGGCTGCCAAGTGTGGGCATGAAACACCCAGGAAATAGGGGGGTTTGGGTGATTTAATCTCTGGGGAGACTATTTACAACAGGGAAAGATTTTATAACTCTCAAATAGAATATGATGGGATTTGTTTCAAAGAACATTCTTCAGTGAACTATCTGAGGTTTGGTTTATGCCTTCTCTCCACTGAAGCATCTTAATGGCTCAGGAAGGCTGGTTTTTATTGGTTTTGTTGTTGGGTTTTTTTAACAACATTGCACAGCATGGTGACTGGCAACATTATCACAGCATAGTTTATGCCATCTGAAAGAATCACACTACATTATTTTAGTGTTAGTTCTCTGACTCAGTCTGAACTAAATGGTTTTGCCAATGTAGTTATTGCAGAAAAATTATACCAGGAGAACTCTTCTACTGTAAATATGCCTTTCATGGCAACTAATGGCAGGTGACTTACACTCCTTTTTCCATTTACCTTGCCAAATGATGCTGAAGCAGCATAAAAATAATTAATCTTTCCCCTTGGACACTGTAACATGGTGGAATTCTCCATTGTCCTATCTGACAAAAAGTACTTGGTCAGTAAAAAGAGATCCCTGATCGATTTGGATGTCAGTCCATTGACAGGTGATTGACAAGGCATAGTCATGTGATACAAAGTGATTCAAATTTGTAGACTTAACAAGGTGGCACCCATCAGCTGAGCAAGGGGTTCACTGAATACTCTCAGCCCCTCCTGATTGCAAAGAGAAACATATTAACTTGTACCACAGTTAAGTTTCTTAATGAGGTCTACATTTCTTCACACTGGAAAATGACATCTTTTCCCCCTTTCACCACACCATGCAAAACTCAAATGCAGCTTTCCATTTAGGTGATTGCTGAGGAATTGTCTGGAAACGATGACTACGTTGAACTTTCATTCAGTGCACGGAAATTGGATGACAAGGTAAGCTGCTTGATATTAACCTTACTGAAAGATATAAGAGTGCCTGCAAATATTATCTGATGAGATTTTTCCTGACAGATAGCTTTGCCTTATATTATTAAACACATTGGAGATTTCAGATGAACCTTCATAATAAGGCTTTCCTCAAGTTGCAAAGTAATTAAAAAAAAAACCTCAAGGGAATCTAATTAAAACCAGGACAAGTTAATTACGCTATAACCAAGACAATTTAATTATTTAAAATGCCACAGATCAGAAGTGCTTAGAGAAGTGAACTTTCTATAAGTAGTTAAAGATGTTATAGTTGAAGTAAGCATCTTAAAATAAAGCTAGAAAACTTAATAACAGCTCAGTCATGACATACATTTTGTTCAACAAAATGTAACTTGAATGTGAGAAAAAGACTCGCATATTTGTTAAAAACTTTTTCCCTTTTTAATAAGAAAACTTGCCACTGACTCAAACACTACTCTTTGTTACAAGGACTACCTCTTTCTGAAAATATCTGTTGTTGTTTAGCAATATGTATATAATAAGTACTTTAAGCAACACATAGCCCAAGAAAACCAGATGACTGCTTGTAAGGCACACTCTGTTATTTCAGTGTAATAGCAGGCACATAATTATTTGAGGTAATCTGGGGAATATTTTAGCAATTCATAGATGTCATAAGACTATGACCATTTTTCGATAGTAGGGCTTTACATGTAATTGAATATCAGATGATTACAATTGTACTGGATCACAATATCTACCATTAGCATATAGTCCCTTTTTATAAATGAAACTGCTTCTAATTAGAAATGTATGATGACACTATACAAAAATTCATGATTCTGATGCTCCAGGCACGTCCTTTTAAACATTTGACATGTGAGCTGCTTAAAATCAAATCAGTGAGAGTACTTTTAGATACAAACAGCCTGATTTTGAAAATCTTATGTAACAAAGAATATTTTTGGTCGAAACTGCCAGAAAAACTCAGACAAGTAGAAAGTACACAGGAAGATTAATAGTACTGAAATTTATTTAGAACATACAGGTAAATAACATTACTGTGTTCAGGATCATTAGCAATCGTAAATGATCAGGACCTGAATTTGCTTCTCATCTGAAAGATAAATTACCTCTTCCTTCAGAGCTGCTGGAGTCTCAGTGTTTCTGAATCACATAATTTATTTAGGTGTCAAAATGTAGATTTACAAACTTCTCTTTAGACAGCCATCTTTAGATGTCCTTGCCAAAGTTGTACACAAGTTTCTTCCTGTTCCACATGCTGTCACATCTAGAAAAAAGTAACGGACATATACAACATAATAAAACTCCACTTGATCATTCCTGTTCCACAAATGTAAAATGTAATCTGGTACAAATATTATGATTGCTTTATGGCTCTTGTTGGTATAAATTAAAAAGATACTGCGGAGTGCGCTTCTGAGCCAGGTCAGTGTTTTCTGGACAATAGATTTGGAGAGTGGTTGAAACACTTTATGGGGATAAGTTCAGGAGATTAACTTTGAAATATTGCAAGAATATTGTCATTCTTGACATTTTATCATGTCTAGTCAAGGTGCGCTTCAACTAATAAAAAATTCCTGGATGATGCAGTGTGCAACTCAAGCAATGACTCATTGTGTGTTATCTGAATCAAAACTCCTGTCTTCAGTTGATGAAAATCACTGGAAACCTATTCAGCTGAAAGAAGTCTTTCAATTTCCTCCAGCTAGAGGCAGCTCTAAACCTGGCTGAACCTTAGCTTACCTCTTTTATAAGAAAAGACTGTGGATTTTGGTATGACTTATAATGAACTTAGGCGTCAGTAGATGCAAAACACTATTAATAATTATTGTTGTTAAGGTTTGAAATTACTTAAATTGCATAGTTCAGCCATTGGTGAAAAAGCATGAGTCCTCTGATGTCACATAAACGTCCATAAAAACCCATCAGAGAATTGAGAGGAGCCCATCTTGTAAAATCCTAAGCATGGTTTTGCATTCCTCTCCCTACTCAGAGAAGTGATACCTGAGTAGGGATGTAACATCAGAGAAGCAGACCAAGGGCTGGAACTAGCCTTGGAGTCTCCTGAAAAATAGAAGAAGACTATAGAAACATATTCTGCTATACACAGGGTCACCTTTGTAACCCCAGGGGTTCCCGCACTGGTAGCTGTGGGGGTGGCAGAAGACAAGTTGAATCCTAATGTCTCACAACTTGTGGATAAAGGAAGAAGTGGAGGGAGGTTCTGGATGTGCTTTAAAGATAAAAAGACAAATAAATTCTTTCTATCCATTACCATCAGTGGTATCTTGAATGGACAAGAATATTCTTCCTCCATCCTTTAAAGGAAAAGTCCTTGAAAGAGGATCCAGATTGGGGTCCTTAAATGTATGGGTTTCCTTCACTAAAGAAAAAGATGTGAACAACACGTTTGGCAGATTAAACAAAATTTGTTAGTATAATTTAACAGGCAGGGTATGCTTGTTGTTTTGGGTGGGTTTTTTTGCGCCCTCCTCATAAAACTGCAGGAGTTTTAGAGAAGCCACAAAACAATAAAAGCCTACTCAATTTTTCCTGGAGGGGCAGCTGAAACATTCAGTGGAAAAAATATAGGAAAGTCACAGGTATGAAAGTTTCTTGTAGTTAACTGACTTTGCAGAGGTAAAGGTTTTATTTTTTTATTGCAATGCTTGTTTGGAAGGTATAACTGCATTTTCATGTTTTATTGAAGCCCAGTCAGCTTACATGGCACATCTTTGTTTCAAGAGATCCACTGAGAACACTTCATAGTGGAACAATAACTTTTGGAAAGGTTCTATTGCATTAATAGCTGTGTCACAATTACCATAACAAGCAGCTACGTTTTTATGATAGCTATAATAAATTACGAGCACTGAGGCAGGCAAACTGCTTTTCCTTTTCTGAAAGAGGCAGTTATCACTGCTTGGGAAAGATTCTCCAGCAAAAGCCTGCAAAATACAAGCTAATATTGCTTTTTTATATATTTCCCTGGTACTAAACTACTACCCCAAAAAAAATCTTGAATGCCCTGTCTTGCTGCTGAAGAATTTTCAGAATTATTAATATCTTTTGGCTACTTCAGCCCTTTTCTGAGGGACCTTTGATTTGAGCTCCAAATGTGAATTTTAAAAAGTGTTATACTCTGAAAATTAATGTACTAAAAGACGTGTCAAACTAGGTGCTCAGAAACGGAGGTAGTTAAATTTTTAAAGCTTAAGCCATGTTCTTATGTTATTACTGTGTAACTGCTCCACATACCGGAAGAACAATGTGCATTATACCACTGGTAAATGCATTACATTAATCATTTAAACACTGTTAAAATATCAAAACATTAAACCTTTACTGCTGCTACTCTTTCAGAGAATATGCTTCTGAGATAATGCAAAGCTGTTAGATTCAGCATAACAACCAAAAGCTTTGAAAATGTTAATAGCTATAAAATAAAATGTTTATGATTTTTGAGTTGTTATGAAGCATCTTCAATATTGAAGGATTTTTTGTTTGTACCTTCATTCTGAAAGGAATTAGTTCAATTTGCATTGAAGGTGGGGTGTGATATAAGGTATCATCCAGCATTAAAATCTTGCCCTTTAGGTGGTAACACTGTGGTAGTTAAAACCAGATTATTAAAAATTACTTCCCTTGTGCTGATTTGTTGTTTCAGCTTTCATGATACTCAGCTGGGAATGACACTATATTTTGAGTCTTACACAAAATCCTCGTTTCCTTTCTGAATCTTTCTGCAATCCAGTGTGCATTTTTTGGATGTATCATTTTGAGGTGTTCTCTCTCAGATAACTTTTCTTATCAAACATGTTTGTAAAGAATCTGTTAACATGAAGCTTTTACTCAAGCTTCAATCAGTATACTTATGTGTGAAAAGAGGCAGCTCAATCTTTTTTAACCCTATGCACTCTTGATTTTGGTGTCACTATGTTTAAACAAGCACCTGCTCTCTCTGCTTGTTCTCTTTGCTATGCAGTAGTAATTGGGCAGAATTAGATCACCAAAGCCCCCTATATACTAGCAGTTTCAAGTGCTGGATGGAGTCCAGATACTAAATCTACATCAGGGCTTTGAGGCAGATTCTGGAGTTACAGACTTTGTTGAGTTTTGTGCCGGTTCTACACACTTTTACACTGAATGCCCTGTAACCATATAATTGGAATAAATAGGCAAACATATGGCTTTGCTGTTTAGAGCTCCATGTGATAAGATTTAACAAATACATATGCACCTGCTTTGCATCAGTTTCTAAACATATCATTACATTTTCTCTAGTAGGAAAAGAGAGCATTCACAGAACAGCAGTCTGAACACTACATTGATAGGTGTCATTTTTAGGGCATGGAAAAGATTAGGTTTATTGAGCCTAGCCCAAGGCTTTGTGATCCCTAGGGACTCACTTCCTTCTCCAGACATTCAAATTCAGGTGTTTCTTTTCAAAGTCCTGATTTCTTTGCTTGTCTTGCAGTTGTGGAATTGTAAAAAATGCCCTAAAGACAAATTTGACCAAAATGATGTGCCCTAACACTGGCTAGCATCCTATCCAAAGCTGTTCCCATCCCAATGGCTGTCCAGCTAGTCAAAAATGAGTAAGGTGGGCATTTGATGAGGAGAAAATTGTAGAACTATGCATATTACAGTCATTTTTACGCTGATGCTTTTATAGAAACATCAGGAGAGCAAATGGAAATCCTCACTTCCCCAAATTGATATAGAGGTCTGTGGGTTTGGATATGGCCTATAGAGAAGAATAATATTCATATGCATAAAGTTAATCATGTGGCTTTTCTGAAGAAGAAAATGAAGAAGGGATTTGATACTACAGAAAATGGGCCGAGTCCACTTGAATGCTGCTCTTGCTGCACTGAACAGTTAGAAATCTGAATTAGCCAGCTTTCCCCCTCCAGCTGCAGAGGGCTAACACCCAGCTACTTCTCTGCCTCGCAGCCAGCATGTCCAGAAGAAATGCGATATTGAAACAGAAGGGGCTGTGGTCAGACTGCAGTAACACTACAGAAAGCAACTTAATTTAGGTTTGTGTAAGAACACTCAGGGTTGTTAGCTGAATGCAAGACTAAGGGAAGGTGTTCTGCAGTGCAGTAAGTATGTGAACCTCAACATCTCTCACAGATTTGCTTGTACTTAGAAATATCAGGTAATTTTCTGTATTTCCCTGCTCTGTTTGTCAACTTAACATGGGCCATGTTATCACATCCTGAAGAGGACTTACTTCTCTAGCCTTCCTAATCCATTTTACCAGTACTTGTGTTAGTTGGTAGCAGAGCAATGTCTTGGCCAATTAACTTCTGTTTTGATAGGGTGGGCAAATAGTGTGAAATTCAACACCACCATAGAATACGCTTCAAAGGGCCTTGCATGATAAAACTGATGTCAAAAAAAAACAAACAGATACGGAGACAGAAAGAAACAGTCTAGGTGGGTGAAGGAGCTAAAGCTCAGGAATCTGCACTGGGTGTGAGAAGGGAAAAGGCTGTAAAATGATGTTTTACAGTTCTGTCTGCCATGATTGAATAGTCAAACTGAGAGCAACAGCAGTGCCGTGGAAATCCTTGTGAAACAAGGACAAGAATGAAATATTGCTGAGAGACACCAAGGGGTCTCACTAAAATCATGCTGTCTCTCCTTTTTCATTAGCAGTCAGGGAAGCACTAGTGCACTGTGCCTGAAAAGCTCAAAGTAAAAGAAGTCTCAAGAGTAACCTGTCCTATATTTTATTTTAGGATTTTTTCAGCAAATCTGATCCTTTTCTGGAGATTTTCCGGATGAATGATGATGCAACCCAACAACTTGTTCACAGGACTGAGGTAAGAAATAAGGTTGGATTTACTTTCCTAGGACAAAGGTGGGCTGTCAGGAGGAATAGCTTGTGCTTCCCATGTCACAAAGGATACTGCAAGCGCCCACACTTTAATCTCTTGTGTAATCATTGACTAATGGATATCAGGTCTTGTCTTATGCACATGAGAGTAAGGGAAGATAGTACAGAAGCCAAAGATGCAAATTTAATTAAACTGGCACATATTCTGTTTGAAGGTCGGGAGATATTATATTTAGCCCAAACTATGCTACAGACAGTATCATATTTTTCCTTTAATTATATCTTGCATCTTCTCCATCTCCTCCCAGGTTGCTGGTGCTAAACAGATTTGTAATCTGGGTGCTTTACATCTGTTTCCTATGTCCCAGCGTCATTACTTCTTCCATGGTAATGACTGGCACTGTCTTCAAAAGCAGCATTTAGGTGTGCAGGGTGGGGCCGTGGCAGGTATTTGGGGTTATGAGACTGTCTGTTATGGATCCCATAAACTGCTTGTGACAAGGTAGATCATGTGCCTGTAAATTGATGCTGCCCATCCCCATTGCCTGATCCTACATCTCTTCCATGGCTTCCAGTTCAGGGATGCATACCACAACTTTCCCTTGTGAATTACACTCCCACTGAGCTATGGTATGTGCTCCTTTCTGGGGCTTTCCAGAGGAGGAGTGTTGCAAACTGCAGATTGCTCAAGGGCACATATCCCATGCATATTGTTCTTCAAACCTCCAACTGAGATCTGCTTCCTTCTTTTTCTGGTGAATGTGCTGTATTGAAAAGTGTGGCTCTTGTTAGTAGTCTGTTTGTAGATGTGCAAATGTTAAGGGTTCCCTTATTTTCACTTGCAGGTTGTGATGAATAACTTAAATCCAGCCTGGAAGACCTTTAAAGTGTCTGTAAATTCTCTGTGCAGTGGAGACCAGGACCGCAGGCTAAAGGTCAGAAGTCATTCCTACTTTTTGAATAGTTTTAGTAGTAGAAAACAAAACTTTGTCTCTTTCAGTGAAGATTACTACTCTGCACTGCTTTCTTCTTTGAATGGAAAAGATGATCAATCACACAGCTGCTTTATGATTGCCACAATCAAATGAAGGATGCAGAGAAGTGGTAATCCACTGTAATCAGTAGATTATACTCTATACTTCTTACAGTAACCTCAAAAAATGATGGGGCTGTTTTTGCCAATCAGTTGGATAATTTGAACCCAGCATCATTTAACTGATGAAAGTATACTCAAGGGAAGTGGCAGCCCTGCCACTATTTTAACTACTATTTCCTCACTTTTATGTCTGAAAACCCTCTATAAAAGAAACATTGAATTATGAGATCTGTTCTTATATTTGAAGAATAAGGTGGCCACAAAAAGACATGTGCCATAGTAATAACAGTGTTACTAGTCAGCAGAAAGATGGATAGTTGGGAACTTGGAGCTTCATGTAGAAAAATTCATCTTGTGGCTTCAGATTAAATCAAGACTGAATCCAGTTGTTCATATCTTCTAATGAGGTTTAAGTTTAATACTAAAATTAAAAATACTGAATGAAGAGCACTGTCCCCAGTGGCTAGTCAGTATCTTGGCCCCGATGAAAAGATATTGGACCCAAAAGTATGGTACTTTTTTTATTCTTACCATTCCAAATTGTCTAATAAAAATTTTTCCTTGTCCCTGCAAATCTTCCTTCTTTCATCATTATAGCTGCACAATCCTGCAGAAGGATGTCATTTTTCTCTCATTACATACTGCAGGATGTGCTGTGCAGATAGAAAAAATAAAATACCTGGTGTCTACATGTAATGGTATGAGCCAAAAATGGGTGGAAAACTTAAAAAGGAGTCATATGAATGCTTGGATTTATACTGATCATGCTAATTGTGATCTATAACTTCACAAAATCAGCACTGTTGTTATGGAACAAGAGTGGTACTGACACAGTGTTTGTATGTATATATTTGTATGTTATTGGGGATGCCCAAGGAAGGTGCAGTTATGAATGGTTATCTTTATATATTGTTTGTGTCCCTTGTGGCAGTGTTGGGCAAACAAGATGAGTCTAAGAGCAAATGAATTACCAAAAGAGTGAGGAAGTTTGAAAAAACAGTGCACCATGTAGCAAGGAAAAGTGAAGGATGAAGTAGATGGAGCACAGGATACTTAGGAGGCCAGACCAATGTGTTTGTGACAGGTGCATCTGAGATGTCGGAAGGAAGCTCGATTTCTTGAGTAGTGCAGGGTAACAGTTGTGAAAGATCTTTCCATCTACCCTTTAGCTGTTAAATTGTCAATCCAGTTGTGTTTGGCATGTCCAGCGGGATTGAAACAGAGTTGTAGCAAATGAAACAGAGAATGAGGTGTAGGGAAAGAACAGTTTCCATTTTTTAAACTGTAAGAAAAATTAACAGTATGGGATAAAAGGGATTTCTAATGCAAATGAAGAAATTTAGAGGAGTTATGCATTGTAGCATGTGTGGGATGATAGTAATGTGAAGTGTCAGGATAATGACTTTATCTTGGGAGGTTGCAATTTTATAAATTTCCTGGGTAGATTAAATATCTATAAATTAGTTGCCTGAAACACAGAAGACAAACAAATTACTCTGTGTTGTATAAGCGATATAGATATCCAGGAGAGGAAAAGAAAATAAAAAAGAGCAGCTACCCTCCAGAGGTAGAAACATGACTGACTCAAAGAACCATCAAAGACAAGGAGCACTGTCATGGCTGGGGTCTCCATTGACACCTCTGATGCATGGGCTGCTACTTCATGACAAAAGGGAAACACTGGAAAAAACAGGTTTTTGGACAATGAGTTTACATCACAGCTCAGGCAGGGCTGGGAGCTGAGCCAGTGCTTTTGAAGGAAGAGAGTTATGAAAGGCTTGGAAAGGAAGGGTGAGCAATTCTTTGAAATATTAGAGAAGGGTGAGCCACTTGGGGGACATACAAACAGAGGTGACATGGTTAAAGCAGATGGTAGTACTGTAGCTGCTGCAGCATTCTGCGAAGGTGAAAGGGAGCAGAACTGAAAGGGGCAATGCTAGAAAAAGCGGTATACTCAAAATATGAGTGAGATGCTGAGAGACTGAAGAAGAGATGTAAGTGACAGATTATCTTTGTTATGCAGCCTCTTTGAGGGTGCACCTTACACAACTAGATGCAGAAGGCTACACCCTGCCTCTTGGCACGGGGTCCCAGATCACCTAGTCCAGTTTATATCTAAGAGTCACTTAGAGCAATCAGTTGTGCCTGCCCTTATAGGATCTGCTTCTTCAGGTAGCTTAAACTGAAATGGGTAATATCGCATAGTAATGCAACTGTAGAGGCTTGAGACAAGAGATGGATCAGATTTCTGCTGCTCAAATGAAAAACAGAATTAGCGCAGCGCTGCCTTCACCACATTATGTTTATGCGACATTTAAATCATTTAGATGAGAAAATCGAGGAAGAGATGCAAACAAAATGTGATGCCTAGAATGTCCGAGCAAGTGGCAAGTCCATAAAGGGGGAGGAATGTGGTTCTGCAGGGAGAAACAGGCTCTTTGAAATTGAGGTCAGAAGGTATGAGAAATGCTAAGATTTCAGCTTGGCCAAAGAAGATGGATCTGGGAATAAAGAGGATCTTTGAGCTATGAGCAAGGAGACAGTAGTCAGATTTTTGCAGCTGATAGTGCCAAATGAGAGGTTGAAGAGGGAGAAGTAAGGAGGAACAATAATCCTTTAGGACTGCCTGTAGAGGAGGGGAAAGTCCGTGAAGGAATGCGTGAAGAGAATCAGAGCAAGATGGGTCTTATGAACCTACTGACAATTTTCAAAGTCATCTTGATTCTGTGGGATATTTTTTTCCTTTTTTTGGACAATACATGTTTTTATTTGTGTATGCAACTGTTTGCAGGCCCTGATTTAGATATGAGTATTTGCCTGAGGCTTCAGTTCAGACATTTGCAGAAAAGCTAAAAATAGTAAGATTTGCACCAGATCATTCATGAGTGCAGAAGTATTTTAAAATTAATTGTGGCTGTCAAATGAGAAAAAAAAAACCAACAACTTGAAGCTTCTCTAAAATTCACGCCCTTTATACCTTTTGGTGGGTGTAAAATAAGGCTGCTATGGTTAGAGCAACCCCCAAAATCACTTGCGTGACAGATAGCATATAGTACTTGTCAGATGACTATTCTGTTTGCTTTCTATATGGACTATAACATAGAAATGTGATGGCAGCAAGGACAGAAGAGTGGAAATTATAAAAATTAGAGAGGTGAAGTGTCTGTGATGGGTTTATCGCTTTCAAATGTTTATACTTTGACTTACATTGACTAAGCATTCCAGTCTTCACCCTACCATATCTTGGAACATTTGACTTTACTTGCTTTGTTTCCCTTCATAAAGTATATAGCAATATGTTACTGCTAAGTGTTGAAAGAATTCCCTGTGCCATATTTAATATGGGGGAGATTTAGTGTATTCCAGCTACCTTGCTGAGCATCAGCTTCTCACCAGGATTGCTTGATTATGGTGAACAGTATTTACATAAAGCTGGATAGCTTTGTACCTGTACCTGCTGTTTCTTTTTTACATACTCTGGAAGGCATAATCTAAGTTAAGGCTTTAAGAGGCACCAGAAATGCTTGGAGGGAAATGTCAGCTTGTGGTAATTCTGCAAATGGAGAGAAACTTAACAACAGCAGACACATTGCAACCATCACTATCTTTGGCTTGCCTCTGTAGGCTATTTGGAGCTCTGAAGTCTTGGCCTTTCATCCCTGCCACTGAAATCACATGGGTGCTGAGCTTAGTGGTCTGATTTGTGTTATGAGGAATGGGGATTAGCATGGCAAAAATACACTAAAACAACTCAGTTTAACTTACAGAAGTTTGCTCTTTGTAAGTCTTCATCCAAAGCACCCTTTACACTGTCTGGGCATTTGAAACTTCCTTGTTTAAAATGTCTGTTTAGAAAGATAAGATAAGCAAGGTCACTAAAATCAAAGCAACCAATAATTAGGGTCTGCCTCAAAAGTCTTTTGCTAGTATCCTTTACAAAGTCTCATAATTTGAATTCCTTATGGGCTTTAAAAAAATAATCTAATTTTTCTTTATATAGCTGTGGTGCAGAGAGCAGTTATTTTTTTATTCCTCTCAGGACGCTTTGTAAAACTTTATTGCAATTATTGCTGCTCTAGGTTTTATTATGAAAAAGATATATTAGATTTATGAACCTACTGAGCTTTTCTTCCCAGACATTGAAGCCATCTGAAAAGTCTGGTCACATTTCAGTGTTGTCATAACTTCTTTTAATGCTAACAGTATAGACAATTGTTGTAAGTGTTGAAGTGAACAAAATACCTCTTTGATCCAAAAGTAGCTCATTGCTTTTCTCATGTAAAGAGATTCAGTTCACAATGGTAATTACTGACAAATCTGAGAGAGAGAGAGAGATAATACTTCAGAGAGCAGTTTTTATCTTAGTCTGCTGTGCTGAAGGTCATGTAAATTGTGGAACTTTAGCATTCAAGTTTGGTTTCAGCATGTGAGGTATGTTGCCATCAAAGGTTTACCTGAAATACAGGCTTGCATTGTATCTTCTGGTTAGACATAGTAGTATCCCTACTGCCCATCCATTCTAATAGTTGCAGGGTTCCTCTCTAGAGGAGTCCTGATAATGTACACTGAAAAATAATCTCTTTTTGGTTTGGTATTAGATATTGTAATACTTGGGAAATAAATACCTAACAAGGTGCTGTAGAGGCACAGTCCAAACAGTGCACACAGCATAGAGTAAGAATATCTTCTGCTGAGGTTGTACAGAGAACCTCACTGAAAGAAATTTTGTTCATAAGGAAAAGAGTCAGAAAAAAACCTGGAAGAAAAACATTGCTTCAGGTGAAATAATAAGCTGCAAGGAGAGGGAGAAGCAGGTGTCATATCTGTATAGAAACTCCT